TGTGTGTGTGTGTGTGTGTGTGTGTGTGTGTGTGTGTGTGTGTGTGTGTTTAGCACCCCCCAGGATCACGTCTCTGTCAGAGGTTGGCAGTAAGGCAGTGCTTTGTGTCAGTGAGGGAGCTCCGCCTCCTTCTGTCACCTGGTACATCTGTCACAGCTCACACAGGTAAGAACACACAGGTAAACGCAGATTCACGCTCACACATGTTGCCATAGTAACCGTGTCACCTGCAGGTGTAGTAATGTCACGGGCGCCTGGAGGAGCCTATCAGCAGCCTCAGAGGGCGCTTCTCTGCAGGAGAACATCACTGAGGTGGAGGAGAGAGGAGTTACCCAGGTAACTAGTGATGTCATGAGTTACACCATCAGAGGGGGGGGGGGGGATTGTGTAATGATTCTTAGATGACTGGTGTGTGTGTGTGTGTGTGTGTGTGTCTCTCACCTGTGCAGGTACGCAGTCAGTTGACTCTCCAGGCTCTCAGCTCTCTGTCAGCTGTTCGCTGTGAAGCCAGAAACACGGCAGGACGCCGAGCCAGAGACCTGCGAGTACTGTCCACCTGTACGTATTGATACGGCAGTACTACTGTAGTACTACTTCGGTTCCATAGTAATCTACATTATGAACATATATTATTTACTTTATATAATAGAACCATCGCTCTCTCTCTACCTACCTGTCTCTCTCTCTTTCTCTCTCTCTCTACCTACCTGTCTCTCTCTCTCTCTCGCTCTCTCTCTCTCTCTCTCTCTCTCTCTCTCTCTCTCTCTCTCTCTCTCTCTCTCTCTCTCTCTCTCTCTCTCTCTCTCTCTCTCTCTCTCTCTCTCTCTCTCTCTCTCTCTCTCTCTCTCTCTCTCTCTCTCTCTCTCTCTCTCTCTCTCTCTCTCTCTCTCTCTCTCTCTCTCTCTCTCTCTCTCTCTCTCTCTCTCTCTCTCTCTCTCTCTCTCTCTCTCTCTCTCTCTCTCTCTCTCTCTCTCTCTCTCTCTCTCTCTCTCTCTCTCTCTCTCTCTCTCTCTCTCTCTCTCTCTCTCTCTCTCTCTCTCTCTCTCTCTCTCTCTCTCTCTCTCTCTCTCTCTCTCTCTCTCTCTCTCTCTCTCTCTCTCTCTCTCTCTCTCTCTCTCTCTCTCTCTCTCTCTCTCTCTCTCTCTCTCTCTCTCTCTCTCTCTCTCTCTCTCTCTCTCTCTCTCTCTCTCTCTCTCTCTGTCTCTCTCTCTCTCTCTCTACCTGTTTCTGTCTTTCTGTCTCTCTCTCTCTACCTACCTGTCTTCCTGTCTCTCTCTTTCTCTCTCTACCTGTCTTTCTGTCTTCCTGTCTCTCTCTCTACCTGTCTTCCTGTCTCTCTCTCTCTCTCTCTCTCTCTCTCTCTCTCTCTCTCTACCTGTCTCCAGCTCTCCTGTCTCAGGTTGCAGTCTTAGCAGCGGTTCTGGTTCTGGTTGTCATTGCCGTCTTCTTCCTCATCGTCCTCATCCTCCTCTGGAGAAAAGTCAGTATTCAGAGTATGTACTGTAGTTTTAGTAGTACAGTAGTATTTAAGTAGAACTGCAGTACTTTCCTACATTTTAGCAGTAGTTGTGTGGTTGCCATGACAACATGAGTCTGAATGTAACAGTACGAGAGAGCAATACTTTTAAACAACTTATTTTGTGACCTGAGGTCTGTTCGTCTCTTCCTGTTCGTTAGAAACCTCGTTATGAAGTTCGCTGGAAGGTGATTGAGTCTGTGAGTCCTGACGGACAGCAGTACACCTACCTGGACCCCGCCCACCTGCCCTATAACTCCACCTGGGAAATACCACGAGACAACGTAGTACTAGGTAATACCACAAAACAATTTATTTAATCCTAAACTCATCCTGAGTTAATACTAACCCAATCTGATCTGATCTAATCCATCCATTATCTTCCTCTTATTCGGGGGGTGGGTTGCCATGGCAGCAGGCTCAGCAGGACATTCCAGACATGCCTCTCTCCTGCAACGCTTTCCAGTTCCTCCTGGGGGATCCCAAGGTCTTCCCAGGCCTGTTGGGATATGTAGTTCCTCCAGCGAGTTCTGGGTCTCCCCCGGTCTGCTCCCAGTTGGACCTGCCCAGAAAACCTCCAAAGGAAGGCGCCCAGTTCAGGGGCCTCCACCAGTGTTCCCAGTTGACCCTCACTTCACGTTTGGGTCTGTCTGGCAGCCTTCCCCTCCATCTGATCTACCTCACCACCAGGTGGTGATCAGCTGACAGCTCTGTCCAAAACACGTGTCCACTGATCTGATGATACGACCACGAAGTTGATCAATGACCTTTGGCCTAAGGTGCTCTGGTACTGGATGTTTGAACATGGTGTCTATGGTCAAACTATGACCAGCACAGAAGTCCAATAACAGAGCACCACTCAGGTTCAGATCAGGAGGCCGTTCCTCCAGGATTCTCCATTGTGCCCTCATGGGCCTTGAAGTCCTCAGGCTGAACCCTTTCAGGACATCGCAGAGACTAGAGTTCAGTTCAGCCTTCTCCTCACTGACCCCCAGTCACATCGAGGCGACCCTCTCGTTCCCTTGGAGAGCAGGCCAACATGGCGGTGTCCCACCGGGGGCTTGTGAGTATCCTTCCACCCACCAGACGTCTGTCATCCTGGGCAACTCTGGAAAAGGGGAGAGTCCAGCCCCTCTCCAGGACTTTGGTTCCAGAGCCCCTTCTGTACTAGGGTTGAGCCCAACTACATCTAGTCAGTATCACTCCACCTCCCCCACCAGCTCAGGCTCCTCCCACCAGCCCAGGCCCCTCCCACCAGCTCAGGCTCCTCCCACACCAGCTCAGGCTCCCACCAGAGAGGAGACACTCCATGTCACAAGGACCAGTCTACGACACAGCATGCCTAGGTTCCTGCCTTTGTCTACCGCCTGGTCTGCATCACACCCAACCCCAAAGTCCGTCCCCGCAGGTGGTGGGCCCATAGGTTTCCCTTTTTGCAGGTGAGGTGCTGCAACTCTGACTGCGGGTGACACTTAGGAATCGCTCTTAGTCCAGAACCTTCCCCTGGGACCAATTTGCCCTTGGAGACCCTATTAGCCTATAGCCAATAGTCCCTGATTTAATCTAATCTAATCTAATCTGATCTCATTTTATCTCTCCCTCCCTCCCTCCCTCCCTCCCTCCCTCCAGGTCAGGTGCTGGGTTCAGGTGCATTTGGTCGTGTGGTTGAGGCGAACGTCTCTGGTCTGATTCACTCTCATTCTACAACTAAAGTAGCTGTGAAGATGGTCAAACGTACGTAACTATAACTGTCTCTGTCTTTGTAACTGTCTCTATGTCTCTGTCTCTGACTGTCTCTGTCTCTAACTGTCTCTGTCTCTAACTGGTCTGTAATCTGTCTGTTGTCTCCTTCACTGATACAAACTGTAGTTTGAGATAATAATAATGATCAGATCAGAGATTCTCAGTCCCAGTTGTCCCTTCATGTCCTTTGTCTCTGTCTGATGTCTCCATCTTTAATAACATTGATAACGTGCTGCTGGTTTTCTTTGGTTTTAATTTCTTTTTTTGAGAAAGCTGATGATTAAAGTGTCGGCCGAATGTCACAACGTAACTGTGATGTTACCTTCCTTTGTCAGTCAACGGATCTCCCTCCTGGACAGTGTTGCATACAGTTAACCAGATTATTGATTATCGACACAAATCAATAAAAACTGAATATTTTCTATATTTCTCTGTGTTCAGCAAGCAGCGGTGCAGTTCAGTCTCTGATGTCAGAGTTGAAGGTTTTGGTTCATCTTGGTCCTCACCTGAATGTTGTCAACCTGCTGGGAGCCTGCACGAGAGGAGGTACATTCTTTAATCCAGATTTAACCCTGAATTTATCCTGATTTCATCCTGAACTAATCCTGATTTTAATTTGAACTATTCCTGAACTAATCCTGATTTAACCCTAAAGTAATCATGAATTAATCCTGATTTTAATCCTTAACTAATCCTGATTTAATCCTAATTAAATATTAACTGTCTCCTGTCTGCCTATTTCCTGTCTGTCTGTCCAGGCCCTGTCTATCTGATCACTGAGTTCTGTCGTCATGGAGACCTGGTGAACTACCTGCAGAGAAACAAACACACCTTCCAGCAGAGTGACACACACACCAAGAGGTCAACACATAAATACATACAAATAAGCAAAGCTGTAGATCAAACCTCTCTCGCTCTCTCTCTCTGTTTGTATTGATTATGAGTGTCTCTCGCCCTGCAGCGACAGTGATGGAGGTTATATGGACATGAATAAAGAGGAGAGCGCTCAGTACGTCGCCATGAAGGAGCTCAGCTACGCCGACATCGAACCTGCGGTGTACGAGACGCCGTACATAGCACCAGGTGATAGACACATGATGCCGTGCTTCAACTGTCATCTTTCTTTAGTACATGTAGTACACTATATACATGTAGTACACGTAGTACACTGTATATATACAGTATATTACATGTAGTACACTGTACTACATGTAGTACATGCGATGCACTGTATACATGTAGTACACGCGGTACACTGTATACATGTAGTACATGCAGCACACTGTATATATACAGTATATTACATGTAGTACACTGTACTACATGTAGTACATGCGATGCACTGTATACATGTAGTACACGCGGTACACTGTATACATGTAGTACACATGGTACACTGTACTACATGTAGTACATGCAGTACACTGTATGGAAGCTAATTTCTGCCATAAAAAATTGATAATTTGAGTTGATGTCTCTAAGTTACAAAATAATAACAATAAACAAGATGGCCGAAGAGAAGAACATGTATTGCTTCCTTATCAATCCCACCAATAAAATATACAGGAAAAAAATCAAAACCAAATGATGAGTTCACGTCACAAACAGACGACAGCAGTGACTGAACGGTAACTTTGATTTGAGATCTTGTATTTATATCACTAATCAATCAATCAATCAATCAATCAATCAATCAATCAATCATCAATCAGTATTAATACGCAGCCTCAGTGATGTGACTTTTCCTGTGGTTCTCCTTCAGACCAGCAGGAGGCGTCCTCTCTCCTCCTCAGTGACTCTCCTCTCCTCAGCCTCAATGACCTCCTCAGCTTCTCCTACCAGATCTCTCAGGCCATGGACTTCCTCTGCTCCAGAAGCGTAAAAGCCCTTTAAAAAAACAACTCCTGTGTGATCTATTACATGTTGCTACTGTATGTTGTGTTGCGTGTTGACAGGTTGGATCACGTGTTGTCCTCTGGTGTCCCTCAGTGTGTCCACAGAGACCTGGCAGCGAGGAACATCCTGGTCTGTGAGGGGAAGCTGGTGAAGGTCTGTGACTTCGGTTTGGCTCGAGACCTGACAAAGGATCAGGACTATATCGCCAGAGGAAACGTCAGTTGACGTGTTGAATTAACTTTATTAACCATGAGTGATTGACAGCAGCTCGCAGTGTGATTAACAGCTGTTTCTCGGTGTTGCTGTTCAGAGCTTCCTGCCGGTCAAGTGGATGTCTCCAGAGAGTATCTTCCAGAACATTTACAGCTCTCAGAGCGACGTATGGTCCTTCGGAGTCTTACTGTGGGAGATCTTCTCTCTGGGTAAACCAGTCTGCCCAGTCTGTCCAGTTTACATCTACACACCAGTTTGACCTGTATACATCACCATTAGTATTTGTGTATTTTGTCCCAGGTGGGAGCCCGTACCCCGACCTCCCGATGACCCAGGAGTTTTACTCTGCTCTGAAGAGAGGATACAGGATGACCCGACCTGAACACGCTCCCCATAACGCGTAGGACACAACACACAACACTTCCTCTCTATTTTCCGACTGTTTCCTGTATATTTTGTCTTTTTCCTGTCCGTTTCCTAATTTTTCTTCCTGTTTGTTTCCTGACTGTTTCCTGTCTGTTTCCTGTCCATTTCCTGTATATTTTGTCTGTTTCCTGTCTGTTTCCTGTCCGTTGCCTGTATATTTTGTCTGTTTCCTGAATGTTTCCTTCCTGTCTGTTTCCTGAATGTTTCCTTCCTAGCTTTGAGCTGATGAAATGCTGCTGGGAGGAGAAACCTCAGTCTCGACCTTCCTTCTCATCGCTGGTCGTCTCTGTAGGAAACATGTTGACTGACGACTACAACAAGGTACAAATGACTTTCTCACCTCCAATCAGAATTTAAAGCAGATTTTAAACAAACATCTGTTTGCTATGTAAAGACATAGAGGACTAATGTCATCCTGAGCAGAGAACGAAGCCCCGCCCCCTCTGTGTGTGATGTAATCTGAGTTTATTTGGTCCAGGCTCAGATCCTGGTTGGCAGGTGGACCATCAAAACATCCAGAAAGTTTTTACCTGCTCCATCGGTGTCTTTACTGGCTCCATTGATTTTACTGGCTCCGTCAGTGTCATTCATGCAGCCGGTCCTAGTGGATCAGTCCGAGACTGAATTTCTTTCCCATTCTGACTGTGGGGCTGATGCTGGTCTGGTTTACTGAGAGGATTTTACAGTTTGAGAACTGATGGAGGATAATTGATCCTGATGTTTTTCTCACATCAACAAACTGATCCAGAGTCAGTTAATGGTGTTGTTGTTGTTGTTGTTGTTGTTGTGCTTCAGCGTTACCTCCAGCTGACGGAGAACTTCCTGAAAGGTGACAATCCAGCTGTTGTTCGATCCACACTGAGTTTATCCAGAGCTGTTGAACATCAGACGGACACACACGGTAACACAACAACACAACCAGTATCACACAAACACACACACCCATTCAACCTCTCTGTGGTTATATGAAGGAAACTAAATTTAAAATCCCACCCTCTTTTTCCTTTTAAAGGAAGTCCCACCCCTCAGGTGAATGTTCATCAGTTGGAGGCAGAGCTAGAGGAGGCAGGCCCCTCCCAGGGCACCTACATAATCCCGATTGCTGACGTTACCATAGAAACAAGCACCTGCACTGCGCTGGACGCAGTCAGGTACGACAGAAACCAGTAGAAACTGAGCTGACAGGCCGCAGATGGATGTTTCAGTGGGCGGAGCTACAGTGAAGCAGTTCTGTGTTCACATGATGATGATGATGATGATGATGATGATGATGATGATGATGAATGATGTTTTCTTTGCAGCCCCCCCCCCTCAGATCCTCCCCTCGACACCACCTCTCAGGATGATTCAGGACCACAGGAAGTGACATCATCAGAAGGTCAAGAGGAAGCTGAGGAGCCTCGTGCTTCACCGTGCAGTGGTGAGGAAGAGGAGGAGAGCAGCCTGTGAGAGGGTGTCGGCTCGTTCCCCCCTCAGACTGGAAGGCTTTTATATCTAAACTATGTCTGACTCCACCAACAGGAAACGGCTGCTTCTTCTTCCTGTTTGTAGTGAGTCGACCGTGCAGCAGGTCCTGGATCAGATTATTAATCCCTCATTTAATCTCTGCATTACTCTGAAGTGTGTGTGTTTCTGTGTGTATTTCTGCTCAGTGTCTATTCTAACTGCTTTTAGACTCTTTTACACAAACTGAATCTTTATTAAAACACAAGAATAAACAAAGTGCAGCAGCTTGTTTGTTTTATTTTTAAATCAGTTTCAAGGTTTTCATCAGTGTCCCCCACCACACACACGCACGCACGCACGCACGCACGCACGCACGCACGCACGCACGCACGCACGCACACACACACACACACACACAAACATGTATATTTGGATGTGTGAGACATGTCAAAATATGAAAACTGTTTGGTAACTACTGGTTTCATGTATCCCTGTTACATATGTGCTTTTATCTTATATGAACAGATTGTCATGTATAGAAATGTCTCTATCTTTTCCATGTTTTCATATCGTCCGGCCTGGTTACATCACTCACTGAGACCTCATGTCCTCCACCTGTCCCCTGATGGATCCACACTGAGGACAGTGAACTCTTCATCCTTCATCCCCGTCCATCCACCCGTCTGACTCCGCCCCTCGTCAGTAGATTTATCCTACTTCCTGTTGTGAAGTTGAGAAATGTGCTGAGTGTCAGAAAGTGTCTGAGTCACTGAACTCAACACTCTTCCTCATTTCTCACACACACACACACACACACACACACACACACACACAGTCCCATCACATTCTGATCCCAACACAACTAAACCTTAAATCAAGGTGTTCTTCCTTACCTGAGACCAAAGACCAGACTAGAGACAAGACCAGTTCACAAACTGTTAAAAGGTTAAAAATAAAACAGTGTCACCTGAAGTTTCGACTCCTGAGAGCTGCAGCCAGACTTGAACCTGTGACGCCAAGGTCACATGATCAGAGTCGGAGACCTGCAGGACGCCTCTGTCTCTGAGAGGACCGCCTCAGGCAGGGGGGTGTGGGTAATGTCAGGGTGGGGGGGTTGCATAGGAAGTTCGTCTCTTTCAGTCAGATTCAGTTTGACTTCAACCGAACAACAACAGAGAGAGAGAGAGATGTTGGTCCATCCTCTGCTGCTGTCGATCGCCCTCAGCTGCTGCTGCTCTGCTGAAGGTCAGAAAACAACTTACACTGTTTATTCTGTGTTTACTCTTTATAGAGTTAATGAACATTAATTAACTGTTTATTAACAGTAGTAAACTGAATGAAATGATCATTTATATACAGTACTATCCATCCATCCTGTAGTACTTGACTCAATGGTGATGGAGGTCGTGAAGCACAGACTGAACTATCTGACATAGTTTAATCAGAATCAAAAATATCAGTTATCATAGTATATAATAACACTGCAGTACTTTTACTATTGATACTTACAGTACATTTTGTTTGAATATATTTACATATTGTGGTATTAGTATTTCTACTTCAGTCAAGTATCTGAATACTTCATTCAGCGCTGACTACAATTATTAACATTTCAATATCCTAAACATCTGATAAACGTCTGATAAACATCTGGTAAACATTTGATAAACTGTTGGTAAACATCTAAAGCAGCTGATAAACAGCTGATAAACAGCTGAGAAGCGTACATTAATGTGGGTCAGAGATGACAGAAGTACCAGTTATTACTCTGTTATTAACTGTTCAGTAATTAAAACCATTCATTACCATTCAATAACCATTTATTAACAGTTATTAAACATTTTCTTCAGGGGACAGTTGAAACCAAAGTGAAAAATAAATTAGTTATGAACTGTTTATTAACTATTTATAAAATGTTAATGAGCTCCAAGCCTGTTTATTAATGGTTAATTAAGTCTCCCTCATCATAAACATTTGTGCTGTCGTCACTTTATTTTAAAGCAGTTTTGTGAAGTTGAAAGTGCGAAGCTGCTGCAGCGCCACAGTCAGGACAAACATTTACTGTATTTAAAGAACCTGCGCTCTCGACCATCTCACTCATTTCATCTGGAATTTAAACAGAAACCTGGAAACTGAGAAAACTCACAACCTTCATGTTCTTCAACAACTATTCAAACTTTTACAAACTTTATTCATTTGTTATGAAAACAGATTCACTTATTTTATCACATCAGTGCAACGTAATCACTGTGAAGGAACTTCACATGATGAACTGCTCCGAGACGTCAGAGCAGTTCATCATGCTGACATCAGCAGTACTGCTACTACAGATACTACTGCTACTGATACTGCTACTACTACAGATACTTCTACTACTACAGATACTGCTACTACTACAGATACTTCTACTACTACAGGTACTACTTCTACTACTACAGATACTACTGCTACTACAGGTACTACTGCTACTGATACTGCTACTACTACAGATACTTCTACTACTACAGATACTTCTACTACTACAGGTACTACTTCTACTACTACAGATACTACTGCTACTACAGATACTACTGCTACTGATACTACTACTACTACAGATACTTCTACTACTACAGATACTACTTCTACTACTACAGATACTACTGCTACTACTACAGATACTACTACTACAGGTGCTACTACAGATACTACTACTACAGGTGCTACTGCAGATACTACTACTACTACAGGTGCTACTACAGATACTACTGCGACTACTATAGATACTACTGCTACTGATACTGCTACTACTGCAGATACTACTACTACTACAGGTACTACTGCGACTACTATAGATACTACTGGAGGGTCCTGGAATGGATGTAAACATGTCTCCGTGGTAACAAGTTCCTCCACCACTCCTACAGAGTCATCTACAAAGAAGAAGTAAGACGAGGAAGTGGGAGCAAAGACCCTTCACACACATTGTGTGTGTGTGTGTGTGTGTGTGTGTGTGTGTGTGTGTGTGTGTGTGTGTGTGTGTGTGTGTGGTCTGTGGCAGAAAATGTGTTTCCTGACTCTGAGGTTTCATCACACCAACTCCCCCGGACTGAAACCTCCTAACTGCAGGACTTTCTCCAAAACAAAACTCGGATCTGTTGGTGTGAAATCCTTGAATGTCAATTTTGTTCAGTTGCTTTGTTTCAAACGTGAAAACTCATACATTTCTGATAATCTGGTCATTAATCAATAATCTCCTCAGTTCTTTCCATTAACAACAAAATAATTCCACCTCAAGGTCCATTTAGTAGCTTTTCTGGAGCTTTTGACTGAATGACATGATCTTGCTGCGCAGGTAGAGCTACCTGGTTGTCATCGAAACCAACCATATGTTCAGATTTCAGTTTACCTGATCTCCGTACAGACGTCTGTCCGTGTCGGCTCAAAAGTTAAAGCTTGAAAATTCAGTGTTGACCTTGGACGGTCCATTGAGTTCCTGTTCTGGGGCTTTTGATCGTATCACATGTTTTTATTAACTTTTATTGTGAAAATAATTCCAGGTTTTGTTGAATTCACCAGAGGTAAAATTCTTGTCTCTCTCCACTCCCATATGCAAATGTAATATATGTACATACATTGAATTCCCATATATGACATATACATTTTTATCTTATGTGTAAATATAAGATAAAAATGTATGTCATATATGTAAAAAAAAATGAAACCTGTTAGAAATTGAAACAAGTTAATATATTGAAATATATATCTTTCCCATACAAATGTATACATTTTTGGATGTATGCTCATACTGTAGACATATGTTACAGAAACATATATCCATCCACAGCCTGTCAGTTTATGTAGATATTATAAACAGTAGAGTCCAAAAGTCTGAGACTTTCCCAGAATGTGAAGTTAGACATTTTTAAAATTAATGAGAAATTAATAAGAAAAACACATAAACATATAGAATTTTTAATATATATGTTGTTTTAACAAACTTGCATAAATGAATTAAATATATAATGTTGACACATGTTAACACATTCGTTTTACATAGAAAACATATGCTTGCGACACGTGAGAATATGTGTTCTATGTAAAAATTAATCACATAGATATTTTTAATATATGTACATGTACAAATTTTACTATGGGTATTTCATATGTTATAAATGTATATCTTTATATATCCAGAGGGTGTGTATGTGTCATAATATATCCCCTGATAGTTAACATTTATGAAAACATCACTCTTGATACACGGACGTATACGTCATATACACTGCTCAAAAAAATGAAGGGAACATTTAAATCACACATCGGATCTTGATGAACAAATTATTCAAGTTGAAAATCTTCACTGATGTTGAAACCCCCCCCTCCCGACAATGTCTGGGCTCCTGATGAGTAAGCGGATGGTGTCCTGGGGGATCTCCTCCCAGACCTGGATCAGGGCATCAGTGAGCTCCTGGACAGCTTGTGGCGGTTCTTGGCGGTGTCAGATGCACCGATGCAAAACGTCCCATAGATGCTCAATTGGATTTAGGTCAGGGTAGCGTGAGGGCCAGTCAATGGCATCAATCCCTTCGTCATCCAGGAACTGCCTACACTCTCACATGAGGCCTGGCATTGGAACCCAGGGCCCACTGCACCAGCGTAAGGTCTGACAGTCTGAGGATTTCTGCCCGGTACCTAACAGCAGCCAGGGTATCGTTGGCTATGACATGGAGGTTTGTGCATCCCTCCAAGGATCTGCCTCCCCAGACCATCACTGACCCACTGCCAATCCAATCATGCTGGATGATGTTATAGGCAGCATAACGTTCACCACGGTGTCTCCAGACTCTTTCACGCCTGTCACATGTGCTCAGTGTGAACCTGCTCTCATCTGTGAAGAAAATGGGGCGCCAATGGCGGACCTGCCAGTTCTGGTGTTCTCTGGTGAATGCCAGTTGAGCTGCATGGTGCTGGGCTGTGAGCACAGGTCCCACTAGAGGACGTGGGGCCCTCATCCCACCCTCATTGAGTCTGTTTCTGACAGTTTGGTCAGAAACATGCACACCAGTAGCCTGCTGGAGGTCATGTTGTAGGGCTCTGGCAGTGCTCCTCCTGTTCCTCCTCGCTCAGAGGAGCAGGTACCGGTCCTGCTGCTGGGTTGATGCCCTTCTATGGCCCTGTCCAGCTCTCCTTGTGTAATGGCCGGTCTCCTGGTATCTCCTCCATGCTCTTGAGACTGTGCTAGGAGACACAGCAAACCTTGTGACCGCACGTATGGA